TCAGACACGGAAAGGTCAGTGCTCACAGGAGCTGCCCTTCAAGATGTGTTGTCTCAAAGCCCACATTTTGTCTTCACGTCCTCATTTTGACGTCTGGTTCAACTGTGTAACTTGACAAAATTTCAGTTGTTCAGTCTTCTATTCAAGAAACATTTATTGAGCTCCTACCAGGTGCCAGACACTTCTAGAATATTCTAGAAGCTCGGGGAACAGAGGGAAAGGGACAAGCCTGCCCATATGGCAGCTTCGTGCAGATGAGGGCTTGGACTCCACCCGGCCCCTAGTGGGCTCTTGTCAAGGAGCCATGTGCCTGGGTGGGTCCTGGCCACCAGCAGGTCGGCACGTGGAAGTGATGGAAGGTGGGGTGAGGGCCAGTGACCAGGTGGGAGCACCAAGAACCAGTACTGGAAGGACTGAGCCCCTGAGGGTCTTGGGCTGCTGACTGCGACATCAGAGAGGGCAAATGTGCTGTTCTGGGCACGCGAGTTGGCAGCTGAGAGGGCCTTTGGGTCTAGGGCAGAAGTCAGGGAGGGAAATGTCCCACAGACATGGAGAGAGCTCGCCACAGCCAGCCCCGGGCCAGCGTCAGCCCTGGTGTCCCCCGCGCCCCTTGTGGGCAAAGACCCCCAGGCATGTATGCAGCCACCTTCCCATGCTGACGCGCGTCCGGTTCTGGAGGGAACACAGAAATGCCAGGAAATGGAGATGCTGGGGCAACAGGAAGAACAAGCTGCTTTTTCCAACAGAGGGTGTTTGTTTGCATCTCAGGCTGTGCCCAGCGAGCGATGCAGGTGCCGCTCCGCGCTGGCCGTGTCCTGCCTCTCGTGGAGTCCAGGGACCCTGGGGAGAGGGAGGAAGTGGGAGTGACGCTGAAATCGTGTCCAGTGTGTGCCTAGGGTTTCCTTTTTTAATTAGACAAGTAACACTCCGGTGGATTCCGTACAAATTCTAGACAATGTGGATAAAACACTTGCTCCTTGGCCGGATCGTGGCTGTGTGGAGATATTTCATGTGGGTTTGGCTCTTTCTACATAAGTGGATCCCAGCGTCCGTGGTTCTGTGCTGTTTGCAGTTAGTGTGTCCTCGAGGCCTCCCGCCTGTGCACATGGCTGCTCTGCTCAGTGGCTCCCGCTCGTGGTGGACCTGGGGGTGGTTCAGACATCCTGGGGTGACGTATCGGCCTGTATTTGTGCAGCGGCCCCTGTTCACCAAGCTCATCAGCTGTGCGGCCAGCAGTCCCCCAACAGAGTGGCACCCTGCATGGGTTTTTTTTTTTTTTGAGACAGAGTCTTGCTCTGTTGTCCAGGCTAGAGTGCTGTGGTGTCATCATAGCTCACAGCAACCTCAAACTCCTGGGGTCCAGCAGTCCTGCTCCTGCATGGGTTTTGATCAGTGCTCGAGGCAGTTGCTGAGGTTGCCCTGAGACGAGGCCGTTCCCACAGCCCGGGCAGCCTGTGTTGCAGAGAGAGCGGCCACAGCCCTGCGGTGTGCCCAGCAGTCACGAGTGCCGTGTGCTCCTCAGTGCAGGGCTTCCTTCCGAGGTGACAGAGACCCTGGCCGTGAAGCATTTCTCAGAATTGCTCATGCGGTGTCCACTGTTGCAGGCAGGACTTCCACCAGTGGGCGATCCGCGAGCACTACCTGCCTGCCCCTGCTGCTGCGGGGGGCTGTGATGGAGACCTGGAGGTGGCCTGCACGGTTCTCGCCGACGCGCTGATGGACTTCTGCCAGAGGTGAGAGTGCAGACACGGGGAGTGTCTCACTTCTGATCATGGTACTTCTGAGAATGCAGTTTTATTTCTCTCAGTCCAATCGTTTTTTATAGAGCACATTTGGGCACGTCATCACAGCAAGTCTGAGTCTATTCAAAGTGAAGGCACACTTCCCGAATCAGTGGATTTTCTAGGCATATAGATTTGCCAAGAGCAACAGCTGTGTCTTTCTGGTTCGTGAGCTGATACTGAGGGTTGGCAAATGTGAAGAATGGAACAGTGGTCCGGCAAGGGTGGGAGCATCGCCTGGACCCTCAGGGTCCTCAGGACAGCAGCCCCCACAGCGCTACGTGAGGGCTGGCAGGCTGGGAGCAGTTCTCTGCCTGGTCTGGGCCGTCCGCTGCTATCTCCACCCTCAGGGCTCTCGGTGGTGACCGCAGGTGCACCTTTCACTGCCACGGGAGCGGCTGTGTCTGTTGGTTACAGATCGAGCATCCCTAATCTGAAATGCGCCAGATTTTGAAACTTTTTGAGCACCGATGTGACGCTCAAAGGAAATGCTCATTTGAGCATTTTGGATTTTTGGATTAGGGATGCTAAACTGTTAAGTCTAATGCAGATATTCCAAAATCAAAAACAAGAAAAAAGAAATCCAAAACACTTCCAACCCCAGGCATTTTGGATCAGGGATACTCGACCTGTATTGAGGCCGTGAGGGATTCCATTTCCCGAGGCTTAGGTGACACAGCACATTCCTTCAGTCATTAAGAACGAGTTCTGTGTGACAGTCTGAGAAACACTGTCCAGGCAGGTCACTGCTGAAGACACAATCCAGGAAGGAGGCTTTGTTTTTCCCACTACCCTGTGTTCTCCACAAGGACCTAGGAACGTATTCTCAGCGTGAGGTCTCTTTCCTGCGTAAAGGTTACATTTCAGCACAACCAGCTGTGTGAGAAGTTCTTCCTGCCGGCACTTGGTGGCTGGGAACACCACACACCACACAGAGCAAGATGGCAGCCAGTGCCTTTGTCCCCTAGGGGTCGTGAGAGCCGCTCCGTGGGGATGGGCAAGTGTGTGTGCACCTTCCCTCCCTCTGCGTGCTCCGGCCCCGGCAACCGCGGATCTGCCTTCTGTCTATGGATTTGCCTGTTTCGGACATTCCTTGTCAATGGAATCATACAACGTGTGTCTGCCTTCTTTCCCTGAGCAACATATTTGAGGCTCATCCATGTTGTATCACGTATCAGAACATCGTTCCTTTTTGTGCAGCAAATACTGATGGAAGGATATAGACCACACTGTATCCATTCGTTTGCTGAGGGACATTTGGGTTTCTACTTTCTGGATATTATGGGTAATGCTGCTGTGAACATTTGTTTACAGGTTTTGTGGAGGCCTGTGTTTTAGATTTTCCTGGGCATATTCATAGGACTGGAGTTGCTGGTCATATGGCAGCTCTCTGTGACTCTTTGAGGGACTACCAGACTGTTTCCAAACTGGCTGCACCATCTTACATTCCCACCAGCAGTACAGAAGGTTCCAGTTTCTCCAAATCATTGCTAACACTTGTTGTTACCTGACTTTAATAACAGCTGTTTCGCTGTGGTTTTAATTTGCCCTTCCCTGAGAGTGAATGATATTGAGCATCTTTTCATATGCTTATTGACCATTTGCATGTCTTCTTTGGAGAAATACTATTCACGTCCTTTGTTTATTTAGACATGGTGTTGTAGTCACGTGCCATGTACTCACAACAACGTTTCAGTCGACACTGGGCCACACATGCGAGGGTGGTTCCGTAAAAGTGTAATGCTGTATTTTTACCGTACCTCTTCTGCGTTTAGGTGAGTTTAGACACACAGACACTTCCCTCGTGCTACACTGGCCTGCGGCACTCAGCGCAGCACCGCGCTGGACAGGCGTGCAGCTCAACAGCCACGGGACGTGCCCTCTGGTTTGTGTGCGGACGCCGGGATGTCCGCACAGCGACAGAGGTGCCTGATGACACAGTTGTTCAGCGATGCCCGACTGTGTCTGCCGCACTGAGTTGAACAAGTTCATTACATACGCTGGATATGAGCTCTCATCAGACACATTATTTGTAAATATGTTCTCTCGTTTTTTGAATTGTCTTTCACCCTCCTGATAGTGTCCTTGGATGCACAAAAGTGTTCAGTTTTGACAAAGTCCAATTCATCTATTCTTAGTTTTCGCTCTTTAGGGTTTTGATCCATTTTGAGTTACTTTCTGTGTGGGGGTCCAGCTTCATTCTTTCGCATGTGGCTGTCCAGTCGTCTCGGCACCATTGTGGGAAGGGCTGTCTCTGCCCCACTGAGTGGTGGTGGCGCCGTTTCAGAAGTCAGGTGACCATTCACGTGGTTATTTCTGGACCCTCAGTTCTCTTCCCTTGGTCCCTGTCTGCCACAGGCCAGTGTTGCAGCATTTTGGTCACTGTAGCTTTGTAGTAGGTTTTGAAAATGGGAAATACGAGTCTTCCAACTTTGTTCTTCTTTTCCAATATTATCTTGGCCATTCAGGGTCCTTTGCAACTCCATCTGAATTTTAGGATCAGCTTGTCAATTTTGACAGAGACAGTCGTGATCCTGGTAAGGGTTGCCTTTAATCTGTAGATCAATCTGGGTAATGTTGCCGTTTTCATGACACTAAGTCTTACTTTCATTTTTGGATTATTCCTTGCTAATGAACAGAAATACCACTGATTTTTGTACATTGATGTGCTGAATTCATTTATTATCTCTAATAGTTTTCTTTAATGGATTCTTTAAGGTTTTCCATATATAAGACCATGTCTTCTGTGAGTAGAGATAATTTAACTTTTTCCTTTACGATGTGGGTGCTGTTTATTTCTTTTATTTGTTCAGGATCCCTGGCTAGAGCTGCCAGTGCAGTGTGGGGGAGAGGGAGTGAGAGAGATGTCTTCGTCTTGTTCCTGGTCTTAGGGGAGAAGCTTTCAGTCTTTTATGATTAAGTCTGATGCAGTGGGTTTTTCATAAATACCCAGTATCAGATTGAGGACGTTCCCTTCTATTCCCGGTTTATTGAGTGTTTTTTTATCATGAAAGGACATAAAATTTTGTTAAGTGCTTTTTCGGCATTTATTGAGATAATCATGTGGGTTTTCTTTTATTCCAAAGATAACTGACTGTTACATTAATTGATTATTGGATGTTAAACCAACCTTGCATTTGTGGGATAAATCCTATTTGGCCAAGGTACATAATTCTTTTTGTATTTGCTGGATTTGGATTGCCAGTATCTTATTTGAGTTTTTGTGGTTTCTTGTTGACTAATGTGATTGTCGCGCCCCCAGAAAAGCACAGAGCACCCTACTCTGGAGACAGGGGGGCTGGGAACGCCGGCACCATAGGAGATGCTGAGGAGGCTTTTACTGCATTTTCATTTCAGTTTGAGGAGTTGTGACCACTCAGAGAATTCTGATCCGGTCCCCGGTGGCCACACAGGGAATCAGGATATTCTTTCCAGGTTGCAGGTGAGATAGAGCACACCCAAATGTGGTGTGTTCACTACAATTAAGCCATCTTCTGTTAAGATATTTATTATAGGCCAGGCACCGTGGCTCATGCCTCTAATCCCAGCACTCTGGGGGGCCGAGGCAGGAGGATCACCTGAGGTCAGGAGTTCAAGACCAGCCTGAGCAAGAGTGAGACCCCGCTCTCTACAAAAAATAGAAAACATTATCCAGGCATGGTGGTGCGCACCTGTAGTCCCAGCTACTCGGGAGGCTGAAGAAGGAGGATCCCTCGAGTCCAGGAGTTTGAGGTTACAATGAGCTATGATAACACCACTGCACTCCAGCCAAGGCAACAGAGTGAGACCCTGTCTCTAAAAAAAAAAAAAAAAAAAGCTGTGATGCTAGAAACGTCTCCAAGCTTTGGGACACTTACAATTTGAAAATAGTGGACGTTAAGAAAGCACCAGTGTTGGTGGTGCGATGGCTGTCCTCTTGTTTTCTGCTCCAGACTCCAGGCAGGCGCCGGGCCCTGAGGAGGTGATGTGGTGGAGAGGCCGTGGGGTTTGCAGGGGGGACTGGACTCTCCCACCGCGAGGGCCCCTGGGCGCCCACATGGGCCATCAAGGCCTCACACTGTGGTGGAGGTGCATGGGACAGCACAGCAGGGAGGCCCCGCCTTCAGTACAGAGCGCACTTCCTGGTCCACATCCCGCCCTGCCCGGCTCTCTGGAGGGTGTGCGGGTCCCTTGGGAGCACAGCCCCTCCATAGCTGCCTCCTGCCCTGCCCACGATCCCTACACGGAGCCCGCACCCTGGACATACAGACCCAGTTTCACTTGCAGGATCACACATGTGGGTTTCACGCTTCCTGGGAGCTTTCCTGGTAATCCTTCTAAAGCACCTGGATTTAGAAAATGTGGGAAACGAAAGAGAAGCCCTGGAGGGTGTGTTTTTGCATGCTGGGAAACTTACTTACAGATGGTAAACCATCCCACACGGAGACCCAAGACCCTGACCCTCCTCTCGACCCACGTGCTCCCTGACCTTCCTGGTGTTGAAGGGAGCGCGCGCCCAGGACAGCAGACATGGTGTGTCGTCCACGTGGGTCAGCGGAGTACCCAGCGTGGGCGTGCTCACACTCCGTCTCTGCATCTGGATTCGTACACTCGGACGGCACACGCCTGTGCATACGTTCAGGACACAGACATCCATTGGTGCCTGCTGTGTCCGTGCCGACCTGTGCTTGGTCCCTGCCCACCACCTCACTCCTCAGCCTGCGCTTTCTCCGAGACACACCTGCGCTCCCAGGCTGTGGGACTCCGTGCTCACAGCTGCACCCTCCCACCAGCGGTGCCGGGGTGAGGTTCCTGGTGAGCACAGAGCCACCCCACAAAGTGTCCTCCAGCTAGCTCGGACGTCAAACCTCACGCAGCGGGATAAGAGTTGCAGTGACACAGCCTGGAGGGAATAGCACACACGGCCTCCACTGAGCTCCTTGGAAGCTTCCAGAAGTGGCAGCCTGTTGGCGAAGCGGAGATGGT